GTCTCAGCCTTTGTACCAAATTTAGGAATATTCATAAAAATTAAACTTTTTAATCCGAACCTTTAGAACATCTTTGGGTATACAGTTTTATAGTCCATACAATTTTAATTTAATGAAGTACAAGTTTCAATGATTTTTGACAGTTTTTGTTTGGGGCGGTTTTTTTTATTTTATTTAACAAGCGTAATTTACAAAAGCTTGCTTTGATTTTTTAAAATTTTATTACTTACGGTCTCCCGCATTTTATTTCATAAGAAATTCATGCTTATATAGAAAAATGTGCAAAAATCCAACACCAAAAAATAAAATTCTTAAACATAAACGTGATTTTTAGCCATTTGAAATTGGCACTTCATCAGTGTTCTAAAGATTCAGATTAAAAAGTTAATTTAGATGCAAATTTTTCGAATTTTGTATACAGTTTGAAACTGTGTTTTATATGTTTTTGGTTAAAGCTTGAACCGTATTCTTATTACGAATATTAAAAAAAAAAATCACCACGTAGCCGCCATCTCCAAAAGTGACACAACTCAAGTTTTGGCATTTTTGAAATTATGCACTAAAAATATACACATTGTTTGTTTTTATCTTTTTGCAACAGCTGGAGCAAATTTTTGTTATAATTTGTTGAAATAACCTAAGGTAAAGACTTCCTTACCCCTATGATGCAGCATGTGCCAAGAAATAGTTTTTCGCATTTTCTGACGAACGCGTTATTTTGAGTTGTGTCACTTTTGAAGATGGCGTGCGATATGTCTTGCTTCGATATAGCTTGTTCATACCTACATATATATGTATATTGGTTTTCCAGAGGCTATAAAAATAATGTTCTTCTATTACTTTTCCCGTTTTTATGCATCATTTTATGACTATGTTATTTATATGAGCATTTAATAGAACATTTATATATCCTCGTTTAAAGTACAAAACAGCGTATCAACAAAATGTGAAACTGGTTGCATTAATTATTTTCTAGAGCGTAAAAAACGCTTATATTTCAAAATGGTTCTCTTTTTTATAAAGCAATCGCATTTCTGGCTAGTATATTTCAGGACGGATGGTTAAGGATTGAGCAAAGAGCTTGTATGAGCAAATCCAATTTTTGGACAGCCAAAGTCAGTTACGCTGTTTTACACAATGACGATACGCGGTTTCGCACTTTAAACGACGATATATATGTATATTAATAATCTAATTAGAAAACTACATTTAATTAGATGTAAATATTAACTTCATTATTACTAATACCAAATTAATTTCTTTTGTTTAAAGAAAACTTAAAATATACAATAAATAGCTAATAACTTGCATTTCTGCACTTCGCCCTGCTGATAAATCATGGCTCGCTTAGTAGAGTATTTAGAACATTGTTTCTAGTTTTTGTAATAATTTAAATCTAAATAAGCATAGGGTGCAACTAAATCGGAAGCATTATTTAAATTGTTGTTAAATGTCTAATAAGTAATTTGTATTTGATAGTGCGGCGTCATGGTTTAAAGGCCAATAAAACCTTAGGGGCCTTATAAATTAAATACTGTTGCCACAAAAAAAAACAGCAGTGTTTGAAAATGCAGTAAATTTTTTTTTTAATTAATTTGCTTTTGCTGTGCGTCGATTTCAGCACGTTTAAAATCGAAAGCAAAGCAATAGAAATTCAGTAAAAGGCTGTGAAATTTCGAAAATAACCAGATAGTTCAAAGGCAAAGAATCAAGAAAAATTTTACTATCACTTAGCTGTTTAGCATCAAATTGGCAGAAATAGAGGATATTATGGGTGCATAATAAAACACCAGTCTCTTTTATTTCTAAACCTCAGTAGATTGTAGATTGTAGATTGTTGACAAATGTGCACAACGACGGTTAGATGCTAGTTTTCAACTACGTTGCGCAACTTTGACGTTTTGAAATTCACCCTACATACATACATATATGTATATTATATGTATGTATGTACATATGCATGCACAAATGCACAGGTGGCTTACACTGATAAGCTCTGCATTGATGACGGCGGCGTCGACACGTGTTTATTATACATATACTTTTTCACTTATACTTATTACGAACTTCAGCCTTCTTTTTATAAAATTGCGCTCTTTGATTTTTCTGCAATAACTAGATTTAAAACACGCGACGAGTCGAGAAATATAAGAACAGATTTTGAAACTTGCCAAATATCTCCGTAACAATAAGGTTTTGGCACTTAACCTATTCTGGTCAAGGATTAAATTTTACTTTTATCTCATTCTTTAAAAAAAAAAACGCCAAAAAATACAAAATAATAGCCTAAATTTGGTCGTTTTACATGTTTGTTAGAGAATTGAATAAAGGTCATTCACACAACATCTATGTAGAAAACTTGAGGACAATATACATAGTAGATGCACCAAACACATAGAGTTGTTGAGCTTATTCTGCTTATAGGCAGTGTTTATATTTAATTGACTTAAAATTCAGAGCATGTTGAGGAAAAACCATTAAGTCGCGAAAGGGTTAAAGGTGGGTTGTGAATCGATCCTAAACCTATCAGAAATAAATGAATAAACCATCAGAAAGATATGAAAAATATAAGATCAAAAGCATCTTAATTCAATCCCAACATTGACGAACTAGTTCAAATGAAACATTCGCAAAAATCTCATTAATATTGTATTCTTATTTAAAAAAAATAGAATTATTACTTATTCGTAGAATGTTATAACAATTTTCTCAACTGTAATGCAGTGTGACAGTAAATTTTTAAAACAAACAAATTATAAATTCGCGAAACTAGTGACCAAAAATTGTGAAAATAGGTACTTATTTTTTCTCTCTGACGTTGGTACTTTTTTTTAAAAGACTTTGATATTTTAAAGATATTTATGATAAATTCAAAAACAAAAAAAATATTTAAAAAGCTCAGTGCAATGGAGTATAATAATGTGGGTATTATGGAAAAGGGAAAATTCTGTAGAATTAAATAAGTTTAAATATTATCTTTGATAATTTGCAATAAGTATTTTTGAAAAATATTTAGGTTAAGAACTGACATAGACAGGAACACATTTTCAATACCCGTTTGTCGTTGTGAACCAAAAGACTTAAAATTGATAAATTCTACAGAATTTTCTCTTTCATTTGGTACCCATAGTACCTATTATTCCGCATAGCATTGCATTTTTTAAATAATTTCTTGAATTAAACATATTTTTGAAAGTCCTTTAGAAAAATCCTAACTAAAAACGCACTTTCACTAGCTTCGTGAGTATGTTGATTGTTTTGTGTGTTTCGATTTTTATTGTTTTTTTGTTTTTGTCGCACGGTGAAATCATATTCAAACTGTGTGAATTTTTTTTCTAGTATTGCTTCTGCCACCGTCTCAGCTTCCATTTGATTCTGGACTTTGATAGATAGCTTTCAAGATACGAAATTTTATAGGAAATATTAAGATAAAGAAGATAGGAAACATTATAGTAAATTAATGGGAAAAGAGATTGGGCATAAAACAATACAATGGAAACAGTTGGGAACCACTGCTTTAGACATCAAGGTATGCAAAAGCTAGCATTCAATAATGTTGTTGTCCATTTAAATCGAAATAAATTTTTACACTGTTTAAGGGAGAATTGAAAAAATCAAACCTCTCCTGTAAAATTTATCTTTTACGATAAAATCGTAAACAGGGGATGTTATAACCAGGGCCGAAGAAAGTAAGCAAGAAAAAATCCATTTTGAGCGCTTAGATAAGCATTAAAACATTGGTAAATATGCTTGCAAATATGCTCGCGAAACAAGAAAATTTAGTTACAGTTTAATGTTTTTTTTATTCGGTTTATTTCAAGGATTGAAAAATTAAAATGGACAATTAAGTGTTGGTTGGTATTTTCAGCGCTGGTCGTTTTAATCTTTTTTTTAAAGATATTCGTTATTCTTCATTCGAGATAAAGTAGTGCCTTCCCGTAGAGACAAACCATTGGTTTAAATTTTTTGTACCCAAGCAGAAATGGAACTGAAGTTACGGATTAATATAAACCAAATCTGTTTTATGTTATTATTTGTAAACATTTCGACAAATAAAAAAGCGCCAAAGAAATGGTCAAGAAAAACTTATTGAGCCAAATGTTCTTAAGCAGTACAAAGTTCTTAATACGCTTCCTATTATGGTTTGCTAAAGCTTGTTTGTGGAGTGTACAAGGTACTCTTGTTTTCAACAGAAATATATGCCTGTTCCATTTTTTGGGAAGGAAAAAGTAAGACAGCAGGATGTAAAAACGGATTTAATCTCCAAATCCGGATTTCAAAAACAATTGTTTAAAAGAGGATACGGAATCTTATCTAATTGCATTCGGTGTCAAAATCTTAACTGCACTTTGAAATTAAATTTTTGAATTAATCTCCAAAAGTTACATAAATTGCCCCAGCGTGCGTCGCCCCGCTGTTTGTTTTGGGCGTGTTTGTTTTTATTTTGAAAATGACGTTGACTTGCTAGGCTTCACTTTGGATTCCTTGGTAAATCAAATCATCTCATCGGATCAGGTTTGTGCTGTAAGTCTTTGGTGTGGCAAGTGTCTGGCTACCTACACAAGAAATGCCGGTGCAATAAATAAACTCATTGCGAAATTAATGCATATAAAATAAAAGTGATAAAAAGGCGTGGTGTGCAGGAGAATGCAGTTGTGCACTTCAGAAATCGCACCACGTAGAGTGATTCGCACTTTTTTTTATGGGCGGCTGGCGACTGGCGACATTGCGGCATAGGCCAAGATTCAGCTATTGTAAATCACTTGGCAGCTATTGTAAATCCCATTGCATTCATTATTATTTTTTATTTTCTTTATTTGCACTTTAATTGTCGGATTTTGTTTGCGTTTATCGCTTTTAGTTTGTCATCGCTTGCTCAAAGTGTATGCGTATGTCAGCAATAAGTCTCCTGCTTTGGTTAAATTTTACATAAAATCACTATAAATAATTCAGTAACGTTTGTAGTTTAATGTTTATTTGAAATTTTATTGCACTTTCAGGGTCATCTCATTCAGATATGAACAAAATAAGCACACAACCAACATTTATGAGGTGGCCAAGACCACCAAAGGCGAAATTAAAGGTGTGAAGCGCCTCACTATTTGGGGCGACTCGTATTTTAGTTTTGAACGCATTCCCTTTGCTAAACCGCCTCTGGGTGAGCTACGCTTCCGCGCTCCAGTACCAGCCGAACCATGGCAGGGCGTACTGGATGGCACTGGTCCCGCTGAGAAGCCTCTACAATCAAATGTAATATTCCGCAAATACAAAGGGTCGGAGGATTGCTTGTACCTGAATGTATTTACAAAGAATGTAAGTATTGAATTATTTGACAAAATTAACGTAATTTAATTAAGTCATTTAAAATTAAAGGGTGGTAGAAAGAATATATAAACAGCTAGAAATTAGTTTAATATCTAAAGAACTATATGGGGTTAAACTACGTGACAGTCAGTGGCGGACTTATGGGCGGTGTTTCAATATGGCGTATATTTATGTACAATATGGCGTCTATGTGGGTCCGCCACTGACGAGCACGTAGTTTAACCCCCAAAACCCTCCGCTGGATCCGCCACTGTTGAATATGATCAACATTGAGCACTCACATTAACGCTTAAAACTCGGCCTAGTTTATTTTTAGCCGACCTTGTTCTTATTTTATCTTAACAACAACAAAACACTTCAGATCATACACATATTTTTTTTTTCTAATTTTCATTCCAGATCAATCCTGAAAAACCACGACCGGTTATGGTTTGGATTTATGGCGGTGGCTTTCAGATTGGCGAGGCCACGCGTGACATGTACAGCCCAGACTTCTTAATATCCAAAGATATTGTACTCGTGACGATCGCCTACCGCCTCGGCCCGTTTGGATTTCTCTCACTAGACGATCCCGATGTTCAAGTTCCTGGAAACGCAGGTATTAAGGATCAAATACTCGCACTGCGTTGGGTTAATGAGAATATTGCTGCATTCGGTGGCGATCCAAACAATGTGACCATATTTGGTGAGAGCGCTGGTGGCGCGTCCACACACATTTGCATGCTCAGTGAACAGTCAAAGGGATTAATACACAGAGGTATAGTAATGTCCGGCAGCGCCTTATGTCCTTGGGCACATCTACCGAACAAACGTTGGGCTTTTCGGCTAGCCAAGGCACTCGGTTACGAAGGCGAGGATAAAGATGCAGAAGTTTATGAGTTTTTGTCAAATACCAAAGGACCAGATATAGTGCGTGCAAATGTAAAGGTGTTGTCCAAAGATGAGAAACACAATAGAATACCATTTGCGTTTGTACCCATTGTAGAACCTTATTGGACAGAGCAATGTGTGATGAGCGAACATCCGTACGAGTTAATGAAAAAGACGTGGAGCAACAGCATACCTATGATTATTGGAGGCACTAGCTTCGAGGGTCTAATATTTTATCCAGGTAATGAAGATATGGAATAAATATTTGTAATATAAATGCAGCTAATGGAATGTTTTTCTCTTTAGAAATAATGAAACGTCCGGCAACACTCGATGAGGTGCGCAATTGCAAGAATCTTTTACCGCCGGATGCGGGTGTAAAAGATGATTTGCAAAAAGCTGAGGAATGTGGGCTTAAAATAAAGAAAATCTATTTTGGGCAAGAAGAGTGCTCGCGTAAGACAATGATGCAGTTTCTGGATGTGAGTAGGATGCCTATAAAATTTTATAAGCAATAATCTTTACTCATTTTTCACCCTGCACAGCTGAACTCGTACCGTGATTTTTGGTTACCCATCTACCGCACATTGCTCGCACGCCAGCGTCACAGCACCGCTCCCACCTATGTCTACCGCTTCGACTATGATTCAAGGGAAGGCAATGCCATACGTAATATTCTGTGTGGTGGTGATGTGCGTGGTACTTGTCATGGTGATGATCTCTGTTATCTCTACTATACTATGTTTTCACACCAGCCGGTTAAGGGCTCCAAGGAGCACGAAGTAACGCGCACAATGGTTGACATTTGGACGAGCTTCGCAGCGAATAGCGATCCTAATTGTGATATGTTGGAGGAGGTGACATTTGAGCCGATCACACGCGATGAAGGTGAAATTAAGTGTCTCAATATTGGTGAAAAGGTTGAATTTATTGATCTGCCTGGTATGGATAAATTAACGGTGTGGCGGGAATTCTATGCGCCGGGGAAATTGTAACACGCTGTAAGGGTGTGGTGTTTTTTACTTTAATAAGAGTGGGTGTCTACCTCATGGAAATTACCGCTTGTTGTATATCGTCACCCTTGTATCAGAAGCACGAATGTGCAAATTTATCAGTTTTGAGTTATTGCGTTGACTTGATTAACCTTTAGCTTTTCTATGTTATACTAAGACCCGTAATACTATGAGTACCACATATTTTAAAATTTCAATTGAATGAATGTAGTGTTAAGTCTCGTAAAAAAAACTTTTATACTTGATTTCCCAAAATTTTAATTTTTACAAATTCATGTTTCTGGCATACGGGCGACGATATCTGGAATTGAGATTGAAAATCGTTTTAAGTTTGTTGAAATTTAAGTTTGTAAATTAAATAAAATACCAGTGTAAAATATTGTTGTTTGGGTAAGATGGTACATCGTTGTAATATTTTTGTAGTGATATATTTTTGTTAATTATCTTTAAGGACACATTTCTTCATACTTAATAAAATAAAACAATAATTCATAGAGAACCACAAAGTGCTTTACTCAGTATGAAAAGTTATTACATCTTCTCACAATTATTGTACGCACTAATATATACTATTAGTAGCATTATTTCAAATTTAAATTTAGTAGGAAATCTTCATCTCCTACTTGTGTAAAAAAGCACACAAACTAATTTGTCAATGCAATATGCAAATTCTAATATACGTTGCAAAACTATTATTTGTGTGCGAATTATTTTCAATCTTACGTTTCTTACCCTCATGCTTCGTCCCATGCATTTTTCTATAGAAATTCGCTTGTTGTACATATAAACATGTAGGTATAAGTATGTATGTAAATTAAGGTGGGTCAATTTGTGTGGAAAGATTTTTTCGACATCGTTCCCTGCAGATTCGGATTCTAGCTGAAATTCTAAGAGAAAAATTCCATTAAAGCATGGCTCTAGGTCAATTTCTAGCCTGCGAAATTTTAAAAGAAGCTATTTTTAATTAATACAAAGTATGTAAATATGCAGATTATTATTTACTAAAGTGTTACGAATATTACTCTTTTTAATTAAATTTTTCATAACTATTACTTAATTAAAGAAAGAAAATTTTCAACAGGTGAAACCCTATTCAAAAACCTCAAGAGGTATTCTTAATGATTCATCTAAACCATTTCTGCGAGACCTCGAATGGCGTCGGTTTTCATTCGTAATATCCGACTCAAAATTAAGCTTGCCTGTCTCGTCGTGTTTTGCGTCATTTGAGCGTCGCTACAGTGTAATATATCGATGCCTGAGTGGAAGATCGGAGTTAGCTTTTATATCTAGGTGCGATATGTATGTGGCCTACATCGATGAGCCTCGCGCTGCTCGAGCAGAAAACAGAGATTCTACTAATAAGCAAACGGAAAATCAGAGAGCGGGCAGAAATAAGAGTTAAAAGATTCACCGAGCAGGCGACACTGTCACTCAAGTATGTACCTAGGTATCAAATTTGACTTGAGACTAAAATTTAAGGACCGCCCGGACTACATTTGGGAAAAACCAGTGTCCATAGTCAAGGTTTATAGGTTAATAGGTTTGGGCAACTGAATGTGGCATGCCGTCGTATATCAAGAGAATACGATCAGTGTATAGACTTTGTGCCCTAAGAGTGGGCTCGGCATTTCGTACGGTGGCGGAAGATACAGCGCTGGTCTCAGAACTAACGGGTGATTTTTTAAGAGCTTGATAACTTTTTTTTTAAAAAAAACGCATAAAATTTGCAAAATCTCATCGGTTCTTTATTTGAAACGTTAGATTGGTCCATGACATTTACTTTTTGAAGATAATTTCATTTAAATGTTGACCGCGGCTGCGTCTTAGGTGGTCCATTCGGAAAGTCCAATTTTGGGCAACTTTTTCGAGCATTTCGGCCGGAATAGCCCGAAGTTCTTCGGAAATGTTGTCTTCCAAAGCTGGAATAGTTGCTGGCTTATTTCTGTAGACTTTAGACTTGACGTAGCCCCACAAAAAATAGTCTAAAGGCGTCAAATCGCATGATCTTGGTGGCCAACTTACCGGTCCATTTCTTGAGATGAATTGTTCTCCGAAGTTTTCCCTCAAAATGGCCATAGAATCGCGAGCTGTGTGGCATGTAGCGCCATCTTGTTGAAACCACATGTCAACCAAGTTCAGTTCTTCCATTTTTGGCAACAAAAAGTTTGTTAGCATCGAACGATAGCGATCGCCATTCACCGTAACGTTGCGTCCAACAGCATCTTTGAAAAAATACGGTCCAATGATTCCACCAGCGTACAAACCACACCAAACAGTGCATTTTTCGGGATGCATGGGCAGTTCTTGAACGGCTTCTGGTTGCTCTTCACTCCAAATGCGGCAATTTTGCTTATTTACGAAGCCATTCAACCAGAAATGAGCCTCATCGCTGAACAAAATTTGTCGATAAAAAAGCATTTCGAACCGAACACTGATTTTGGTAATAAAATTCAATGATTTGCAAGCGTTGCTCGTTAGTAAGTCTATTCATGATGAAATTTCAAAGCATACTGAGCATCTTTCTCTTTGACACCATGTCTGAAATCCCACGTGATCTGTCAAATACTAATGCATGAAAATCCTAACCTCAAAAAAATCACCCGTTATAAAAAGACACACGCACACACACACCCACACACAGTGCCCTGCTAAGGAAGCCATTTTTATCAAGAGGGAGCGAAAAAACAGTTTTCCGAGCAAACCTTTTATTATTGAATCATGGCAAAATGGAGCGTATGAGTAAAGCACGGATCACACGTTTTGTACATTTGTACAGATTTTTATATTTTGATAGTTGCAGAGTGGCGTTGTTTGAAAAGTTTTCATTGAGCTGAACTTATTATCGATAAAAATTTCTAGAAACACATTTTCATTATTGCCACCACCTGCCAAGAGAACGTGACCATTAAACACAACTGCTTTATAGTATTTTTCATCTGTTTTATTTTTAACCAGCTTTAAAAGCTCCAATACAAATAAAACAAAAAAATATCATTTACCTTAAAAGTTGCTTTACTACAGTTTTATTCGAAAGTTTCACTGTCATCAAATGAAATAAATCAAAGTAAACTTTCATTCAACTGTTAACACAACTGTAATTTTCTCATTCCTTTTGCTTGCTGACCAATAAATTTTGCAGCTGCAACTGAAAATGGACAACGATTTCAATCAATTTGCATTTACCGTAGCAAAAAAGGGGGCGATCCTTTCAATAAAGTTACATACAAACATACATAGGTAGCAAAAATATATGTAGGTATGTAGCTTGGCGTCCATTGTAGGTAGGGGCACACAACATTGTGTTAAACTTCGATTAGTTTAATTAAATTAAACTTTTCCCATTAAGTTCATATTTTATAAGTGGTAAGAAAAGATTGCGAATTGTGTGCAATTCAATAGGAAGCAACGTAAAAGTGCAAAACTTTTCAATTTCGCTCAATCCCCTGGCAAAAGTGCTCAAGGTCTTAAGGATTTAACTCTTTAATAATGGTGATGCTGTCTTTTGTTCTTTATTTTTCTGCGATTTTTGGTCTTTTTGCCGTCTTTTTGTTTGCAATTTAAGTTAGTGACTTTTTTGCCGCTGCAAAGGGAAGCTTATAACCTTAGCCCATCCACTTCAACTCATCAATTGAGGTAATTCGAAAATAAAATTGAAGAGGATTGCCACATTTTAAAAAGTTAAAACAAATAAGACAGCTTATGTTTCGAAAATATGTTTGAAGATGGTGGCCACCTGATGATAAATTGAAGATCAATTTAATAAGAAGGCTCAAGTGAACTACTTTACATTGGCATCAACGAGAGTTATTTCTAAGATTGTTTTGAAGAAGTTGACCACCTGCTCAGAAATTTAAATCAGTTTAATCAGGTAAATTAAATTAAATATGTATTTTAAAAAGTATTAAAGGAGAAAGTTTAAGAAAGCTGTATTTCGAAAAAATTATTTAAGAGAGTTGCCATTTAGTGAGAATTACAAGGTCGGTTTTATTAACAAGTTAGAAAAAACATCCTAATGCCCTGTAAATAAACTTTGTTTCTAAAATATTTTTGAAGAAAGTGGCCACCTGTTCAGAAATTAAAATCTTTTGATTTAAAAAACTTCATGAAATACTTTTGTATTTGAATATAGTATCAAACTAGAGAGGTTTAAGAAAGCTTTATTTCGAAAGTATGTTTTAAGAGAGTTGCCACCTGTTCCTAGTTTTAAGGTCAATTTAATTAACAAGATAAATGAAACTTCCTAAGATGGGCGTCAAAAGAGAGAGGTTAAATTGGTTTTTTTCTAAAATATTTCTAAAAAGGGTTGCCATATTCACAAAAAGATAATAAAATTAGCAAATTTAATCAAAGTAAATTATGGAGGTATACAATATCTTATCCCGAAAATATTTCTGAAAAGGCTTGCCACCTATTTCTAAATTTAATATCAACATAATAAGAAAGTTAAATGAAATATTTTTGTATTACCATCAGAAATCATAATCAGTTTAATTAACAAATTAAACAAAATATATATTTTAGTATAGTATCAAGCGAGCCTCCCTTTTTTGTCTCGAAAATTTTTTTAAGAGGGTTGCCATCTGTACAAAAAAATCATGGACAATTTAATGAACAAGATCAATGAAATATCCTATAATATTTCTTCATAGTGTGGCCATAAGCAAAAAAAGATAAAATCGATTTAATTAACACTTTAGTGAAACATTTTAAGTATCAAGTTATATTAGTTTCGATCGAATCGAGTTTAAAATAGCTTTATTTAAAATTTTGGAGGGGGTTGCCACCTGAGAGCAAATTCAGAATTAGTGTAATCAGCAAACTGTTTATGATTGAACGAAGGAGGTCTGGAAAGCTTTACTTTTAAAATATTTGTTAAGAGCGTTGCCATATATTTAATAATTTAAAACTAATTTAATTGAGTAATTAAATAAACTCTTTCCCATGGGTGGCAAACGAGAGATGCTGTAGTATGCTTCAACACTAAAATACGTTTGAACAGAGAGGTTTAAGTAGATTAAGGACGGGTTTCCGCCGTCCGTCTGCCGTGTACTCATATAACGGTAATTTGTAGAAACACGAAAACTACGATAAATCAAGAACTACTAAAGCAAATTGACTCAAAATCGATGAGCGCAATAACAACTTAGCTGAAGAAATACGAAAACTCCGATATTTTAACAACTGGCGACTCTAATTTACTCCAAGTTAGTACTTACAACAATCCTCTTAACAATATATAAAACTGTTATGAAAAAAAATCTTTAGGAATTGGGCATGGCACCGCCCATTTTATGACTACAAAGGTCTATCTCGTTAACCCCTTTATCGATGTCTACCAAACTTGGTTCAATTATATTAGTAAGTTCAACTCAGCGGATTATCAAAAACATTTCTAATTGGCGAAAACACCCTAGCTTATAATGCAAAAGTAGTTTAGAGAACTTTGAAACGACGATATTTGATACCTGCGCTGGGTATATAAAGTTCGGTTTCGA